ACCGAGGACCTATCCACGTCATCATTTACCCAGAATGCTTTGTGTGTAAAAAAAAAGGCTCCGTATGTGTTAAATATATTTTTACAAATTTACAAAACTAAACAGTCTACAGTATTTTTACAGTCTTTATTTCACAGTTAAAATATATGTTCATCAAATAAGTCTAATGTTACAACTAATCGTGGATCCCTTTAATAAAATTGACTAAATAGAATCATGTTTTCTCAGCTTGTGTAAAGTCAGTACTTACACAGCATGACTTTACACCATTTGTGCAGGTTTCTAAAGTCCAAGCCCCAGACTCCCAGCCCCAAACCAAATTCACTCTCAGGGCTGGAAGATCAGCAAAGTCCTCGTGCTAACCAAGCCCCGTCCTCYCCCTTTGATTGGAGCTCCGTCCTATGTGCAGCAATGAAACAGGAGAGGTTAAGAACAAACTCCTCCTGCCTCGCCATGACTGAGTCAGAGCAGCAGGAGCTGTATGAAACCATCAAGCAYGCGCTGCACTCGCTCAGAAAACACAAAGTAAGCATCACCTCCACTTCTTCCACACAGTCTCTCTCAGTGCTAAAGCTGCCTCTGTGTTTAAYGTCACACAAACCACAGTCAGCATTACTAATCCACTTTAAACATTGAAATAAATTCACCCTTACTTTCTTTCCAGGGTCCCATTCAGGAACAACACAAAGAGATCGCAGCAGTGATTCAACGCTGCTATAAGAGATACAAGCAGGTGAGTTTAGCAGGAAGAACCAGCTATATGCTAAACGTTGCCTAACTTTTACCTAAACTAAGCTAATTTACCTAAATTTCTGCAGTTAAGATTTATGCAATTAGTCAATTTAAGGGAAGTACTACATATACACTATTTTAATGTAACAGTCTCTGCTATGGGCTAAAATCAATTTAGCAAAAAAAAATGTTAATTTTAACTAAGTGAAAATGTGAGTAACTCATTGACCAGTCATCTCTTCCAATTTTTATGTTTTTAGTTTTATTTCTAATCATTATTTATGTTTATGTTTCGTTTAGTTTAGTTTGTTCATTTCTTTAAAAACAACAACATAAATTCAACAACAAACAACAAAAATACAAATCATAAATTAAATGAAAGGTAGCAGAAGAAGAAAAAATCTTAT